AATAACTGTCAATATTCACAGCACTAGTAAAAAATACATTTTCCCGCCAAATGAAATAAGGTAAGGCAGAGCCATTTCACATTTCACATATATATATATAAATATATATAAATATATATATATATATATATATATATATATATATATATATATATATATATATACACATACATATATACATATATATATATATTTACATGTGTGTGTGTGTTTTTGTGTGTATATATATATATATATATATATACATATATATATATATATATATATATATATATATATATATATATATATATATATATATATATATATATATACATACATATATACATATATATATATATTTACATGTGTGTGTGTGTTTTTGTGTGTGTGTGTGTATTTATATATATATATGTATATATATATATATATATATATATATATATATATATATATATATATATATATATATATATATATATATATACATACATACATACATACATACATAAATATATATATATATATATATATATATATATATATATATATATATATATATATATATATATATATATATATATATATATATATAATGTTTAGAATAAAAATAACCATCAATATTCACAGCACAAGTAAAAAATACATTTTCCCACCAAATGAAATCAGGTAAGGCAGAGCCATCTATGTGTAGAGACATTTCACAAAAAATATAAAAAATGAGCACAGCATTTTCCCCATTTCTTGTTCATTTTTTTCCCGTTGCAAATGGGTTAATCCAACCCCTGAACTCTCTAGATTTCATCCCTATTCACCCTTTGGATATGAAATGAGATTTAATTCTCATACTGAAGAAAAGTAATGTACAGTTTGTCAACAAGGACACAAACAAACACATATGAAAAGGAAATCATTACATATGCCCAAAATAACAAATCTGAAGACATTCTGAACATGCAGGACAAGTCTTTAATAAAGGAAGATGTTCAGACACCAAAACTGTGAAAAGATGAAAGGAAAAGCAGTCTACCTATTCTGGCTTTACATTCTGACAAATGGAATGTAAAAAAAAACTCCAGTGAAACTAGGGCTATGATCACAACTCAGGAAATTATCAAAAAGTTTGAATAGAATGTTGGTATTAAATCAGAATTTTGGAAACTGTAATACCAACCACATAAAAATTCATGAATTAATAATGTTACCTTTGATATCCTGTATATAAAATATAAATTAAATAGAAAATTGAGGACCACAAGAACGTAACATTTCTAAGACAAATCAAATATCTTTTTCCCATTAGGCCATAAAGAAGTACTTTAACATTGATCAGAACTCTGTTTCAGAACAAAGTAAAAGACATTGTATATATACATTTTAATAGAAGATATCAAATACAATGATTTTTTATTTTTGGTTTCACAATCTTCTATTGTATTTTGTGTTTGTATTTCTGTTCAAATATCTATATAAATCACTCCCATAAAAAACAACAGAGTGATAAGCATAATGAAAACGTGGTGTTAGGATCAATACTTTATAAAAGTCAGAAATACAACACAAATATAGTTTAAACCACAAAATCATCACTAGATGATACCTACAACTACTACTGTTGTTACTACAACAACAACTACTACTACTACTACTGTTACAACTATTACTACTTTTGTTACTACTATTACTGTAACTATAATTACTGCTACTAATGCAAATATCAATATTGCTACTGCACTACTTCTACTTGTGCTGATACTATTGTTTATGAATCCTACAAACAGTATCTGTAATACACTGTTTCACAATCTTATTACCATATGGTCATTACATATGAGAAAACTTTCAATCAACATCAAAATTAAACAGTTAATAATAAAACTTCCATAAGGCATTTCATTATATCCAAATTAATAAACACAACATTCAGTATCAATGAAACTTTTCAAAGAAGATGCACAAAATACTTTTGATTTTCTTTTTCACAGAATATTCATGCCTATACTATGAATGTTACAATTAGGTAGTTATGTTTCTTTTTACATATTTTCTGATCACAAACGTCTGACTTTGAGATAAATGGTATTTGTGTATTAATAAAATGTCTCATATCAAATGTGGTGAGACTTATAGGAAAGTACATTAAAGCTTGGTATATTCCACAAACCAGTGTCATATGATCAAAATATATGTAATACACAAAAAAGGCTGATATCACCTACAACAAAATTGAAAAATTAATGTATTCTAATATCATACCTAAACCCAAAATTAATATAATCAAGTCCTTTCTCTAGATTTTAAGAAAATCTTGTTAAATGCATCATAAATACATAGTATAAAGATATACAAGCTGGTAAGAACAAGCACAAAAGTCAGTTTGTAAGTAAACAAGTAAATAAGTAAATAAGAAAAAAGTAAGAAAACAGTTAACCCATTCACGACGAGTGTCACGTACATGTGACATGCCCACTGTGAGTTTACTTGTTTAATTGTTTTTACACATAGATGGCTACACTTGTACTTGTACTGCCTGTCTCGCCCGTTTACCCTTTTCTTTAATCTACGAAAATATTTTGCGTTATCTTATTTTGCTGTTACTAGTGTTTATAACATTATAGTAATTATAATGTTTATAATAAAAATAACCCTTGATATTCATAGCACAAGTAAAAATACATTTTACCGCCAATTCAAGTAAACATGAAATCAGGTAAGGCAGAGCCATATATGAGACATTTCACAAAAAATATAAAGAATGTGCACAGAATTTTCCCCATTTTTTGTTCATTTTTACCCATCGCGATTGGGTTAAACAGTATATTAGAACTCTGTGTGTGTGTGTGTGTGTGTATGTGTGTGTGTGTGTGTGTGTGTGTGTGTGTGTGTGTGTGTGTGTGTGTGTGTGTGTGTGTGTGTGTGTGTGTGTGTGTGTGCTTGTTTGCATGCGTGTGTGTGATACTGTATAATTTAATGAAAAATCAAAGAGATGCAGCCTAATCTTTACAAACACTAGTGTCAATTATTTAAGCAACAGCCGAGTCTCTCTACTAAACTTTGGAAAATAATAACAGTTAATTACTTTGTCTTTTCTAATTAGAAGAATTCATTTCAACATGTATAATTTTATTGCCTTCCTTATCCTGAAAGAAATACTTCATTAGTTCTACAAACAGTATACTATAAGCTTTTCCTTGATGATAGAACACTAGTAGACACCAAGTTCCCTTTCTTAAAAAATCATCTCTTTAAAAAGGGTTCTTGGTTAATCACATCTGAAATACATGATACAAAGTGCTCCTCTCTGCACCTGTCAGGACTGGCTATGGTCATACTCCTTACTATGAGTAAGAATTTTCTGTACATTATGTAACAATGGACTGTATTCAAATCTACTTTTTATGATGGGTGATAAAACAGTAACTGCTTTTGTAACTATAGACATATAATATCCAGATAAATCTCACTGAAAGACAAGACCTAGGTACCAAATCTGTACTTTTAGCTGTTGGTCAAAATGCTACATACAGTAATTGCCAAGGTTGAAAGTTCCTGGACTTTTTAAAAACATATGTTCCTTTTTGAAAATTGAGAATAAATTTGAACAGATTAATTTGAAAGAAAATTGGAATTTGAGAAATTATTTGTACAACCCATTACTTTTTCTGATAAACTCTATAATTTGCAGGTACTTATTCAAGCTTACACATCATGAAAAATGTTAATGCAGAATGGTTACTTTCCACATCAAAAGCCTTTTGTGTGCTTGAAATGAAAGTCCTATGCCTCTGCTGTTATCATTTGTCATTATTACTCTCAAATAAGAAATATTTGCTAATGAAATGCTATCCACCACAAATTTTGGCTAATGGTACTCAAACATTGTCTACAGTTTATGTATAAATAACTTCACTATGGCTCTTGTAGTACTATGCAGTATGAGGTCTCTTTATCTCATATGAGGATTGATTTATTTTCTGCCGCATTACTATAAAGGAAAATAACTTCTACCTCTCCAATCAAGAAATACTTGCATTTCTTCAACCAATTTTAGAACAAAAGCTAAATTTATATTTTTTGAATTGTTGACAATGTTTTCTTATGCTGCTGTTGTTACACACAGATGGCTCTATCATTACTGAGCCACAAAGGAATCAATTGGTAGGCCTGATGTCACCTCACCCAATTCCCCGTTCCCTGAATTTTTGGGATTTCTTTTCTAATACCATTAATATTGATACTGTTAATATAATTATCAATGTTATGAGTACTTTTATCATAAAAAAAATAATAGTAATGAAAAATAAAAAATAATACATCTGGACATCAAGGAAAAGGGTAAACAGTTAGATAGGTAGGACTCCTTAGTGACTAATCATAGTGGCACATATGTTATGCCATCCCAGCACATTGTATACTGTTACTTGTAGTTGGTTGCATCTTTAACAAAAGCAACTGACCTGCCTTGAACCTTAAATATATGGATTAAGTTCAGCTTAGGCCTTTACTCTGAATTTTCAGTTTGCCAGAATGTCACAGTAAATATGCAAATAATCTTTTAGCAGCAGGAAGAGTAAGTGTATAAAAGTGTTTCCAAACCATAGAGTGTGTCATGGACATAAAAAAGGAATAACTGAACTACTGACAAACAATTATCCATATCATATAATACAGACAAAACATACTGTAACACTTTACTTCATGTTATCTTTCCTTTTAATAGACAAGGGAGCAACTCTGATCAACAGAAAAACTAAGATGCAGTCGCTAACCTGATTGAAAGGAAAGGAAAGAAGACCACCTTGCTGACTGAAAAGCTAAGAAAATGGAGTGGCAACTGTGAATGAGAGGAAAAGTATAAAGAGCATCCTTGTCAGATGGAACAGCTATGAAAATAAAACAGCTAACTTGAGAAGAAAAGAAAAAGATTGAGGAAATGGCAGAGGGAGTTGACAGATGGTTCAAACAATAAAGATAAAATCAGCCCTTTTTCTACGAACTGAGAAGGAAATGTAATTAAGTCATTCAATAACCATAAACATGTATTTACATTTCTTTTTACACAATTTCACAACTATCAAATAATTAATTCTACTTTCACATTTACAAATTACACATCATATTCATAACATATTTCTAATGTACACAGCATATAAAATGTAACCCTACAACTCACATTTAAGAACAGTTTCCCATAAGCATCTTTTTTTAAATCTATATGCTGAAGACAGCATAAAATCTTTATTTCTGTTTTTAATGCTTAATTTTCATCAATTTTCTTTCACTGTTAACATAATATACCCAACAAAGGTTGTGCCTGTACTTGTGTGTGTAGTTATGTGTGTGTGTGCATATGTGTGTCCATTTGAATGTGTGCATGCAAGTTTGTATGCATGTGTGTATGTTTGTATGTATCATTCTGTACATGTGCATTGTGTATAAATGTACATGTGTGTTTGTATGTCCATATGTACATGTAAGTATTTGGAGACAGGATAATATAAAGTATAGTCAATGATAGGGTTGATTGCTGTAAAACAAAATTCATCACTTAAACTGATCTGCTCCCCTGAATAAGAAGTCATTCATAAATGTCATCAACATCATTCAGAACACATTAACACTTGACAGAAAAAAGGAGATAGAGAAACTACAAAATGGTTGCTATATACAATTCCTGATGTTAACTATACAGTAGCTTGTGAAGTATTTCATACGATGCATTTATGATTCCCCAAGAAACTAATGCGCGAGTGTAATTTACATGAGCACCGTTAAAGAGACCCCTGAGACGACTGCCTCTAGCATGATACACATGCCAGAATGTGGTCCGCATGGACAGGAATGGACCACCCACCTGCAATAGAGCAGAGGTATCAATATGAGCAGTACAGGAACACCATATAACACAGATCATGAACAGAAAGACAACTTTTATTATGCTATAAAAACCATCTTATTTTTAGTTTGAGCATCTACTGATGTTAAAGGCCTAAGAGTATTACATCTTTTACATAAACAGAATCAGGTAGAAGGAAGGAGGACAGATGGGACTAGCAGAGGCAAGGAGGAAGGAAGAGGGAGGGAGGGAGAGGGAGGGAGAGGGAGAGAGAGGGAGAGAGAGGGAGAGAGAGGGAGGGGGAGAGAGAGAGAGAGAGAGAGAGAGAGAGAGAGAGAGAGAGAGAGAGAGAGAGAGAGAGAGAGAGAGAGAGAGAGAGAGAGAGAGAGAGAGAGAGAAAGAAAGAGAGAAAAAGAGAGAGAGAGAGAGAGAGAGAGAGAGAGAGAGAGAGAGAGAGAGAGAGAGAGAGAGAGAGAGAGAGAGAGAGAGAGAGAGATTCATGTATATTATACATGACTAAACTTCCTTTAAAGGTGCACCAACTTACTTGACACTGTTGATGGGCTTTGATGACATTGACTGGGTACATGACAGTGGAGATGAATGCTCCAAGGAAAGCCCCTGACGCAAAGTCTGTCAGAATGTGTCCCCACCAGGAACTTCCAGGATCCGGTAATCGCTCCTTTATCTCCTTCCTCAGGCCGAAGAACAGGACGTTGCTTGGTCCGTTCCGCATCAGGATGGAGAACATTCCTCTGTAGTACTCCCTTGCGCCAAACTTTCGTAACTCTTGTGCAATGTGTAGGCTATTCCTGTAAATTCAATTTATTTCAGTGAGCATTAGCAGCACAAGTCAATACTTTAACATCAATATCTTACAAGTAATCTCTCCATACAGAATACATCCAATAGTTTACTTAATCAAATAAAAAACATAAGAATAGTATAAGAAATAGAGAAAGGAAACATTCAAAACATTTAATATCAATTCTATATCTACAATCTAAGCTCTAGTTTAAAGTAATATTTGTTAGATTACAGAAATGATGAAAGGGAAAATTCTCAAAAGTAGGCTCAAAGTTTCCTTTTTGCCTCATTTCTTAAAAAAACATATATGCTGCAGCCAAAAGCATAATTTTTGACTCAAGTGGCTGATTATGTTGCTCAGTATGGGTGTGGGGATATCCAGTCATGAGTGTCAATCAGTGACAAACAAGGACCCAAATATAACCATCTGCCATGGGTGTCACAGCAAGGGTCACATGAATAGCAGGATGAGAACAGCATGATTGGAAAGTTCCTATGGGAGTCCTTCAGGGGATACAGGTGTACTAGACTCAGGCATTAGGGTGAGAATCCTATTCCAGCCCCAAGACCAAGGAGTGTGTTGTTTGTCGCTATAAACTGCTGACCTCAGCTGACCGGTGATGCCCAGGGGAGCGTTGCAGATGCCCAAAGCAGACAGTTACTTCTGTAGCACAGTACAGAGTGGATATAACTGTTTGATGTATTACATACTATTTTTGGGATCATACAGTGATCAAGGAGAACTATAATCTTACTAAAATGTAAGTAGGAATTAAGTAACAAATTGTGTAATAAGTATCAGTGTTTCGTACACCTTCCTTATACACTATAGCAATCTCCCTACACAGAACAGGATTACACTCACAATCTACATGAGAATCAAGGAAATGGATAATGAGTTAAACTGTTGGATATATAATACATAAATAATCCAATTCTGATGACAGAGCCTGATAATATGAACTATGGGGGTTCATATAAGTTCATCTAAAAACTTTTGATGCCAAGAACAGTGGCATTGGACAGAGACAAAAGTGATAAAGTGATAACCAGTGCCTGTGTGACATACCTTTCCTTAAGCCATATTTCCCCCCAGTTTATTTTTAATAATTAAACATTGCCCCCTGTAAA